CATCACAAGCTAAGACCAGGAACTCGTCCTCGTCCGGACAGCGGTCTAAATGCTCCACTTCGGGCTCCGGGGAGACCAATTGCTGGACGGCGCTGCACCAAGCCACAGCCTTGTAGTCAAAGTCGCCCAAGGCCCTGGAGACGGCCAAAGAGCCATTCACCCTCTGCAGCATCACGGTGCCACCAGCATTTTCAATGCGCTCTCTCTCTCTTGGTTTGCTGGGCTTGTGGTCATCTGTGTAGAAGGCTACGGCAGCCGAACGGCACAGGAGAGCCCTGGAGTCACCCAAATTGATGAAATAGAAATGTTTGGGTGAGATCAACACTGCGACGGCAGTGGAACCGGCATGCTCCCATGCTTCATCTTGTGAGAGTCCTTGCATGCGCCGGTCAATGGCTAAAAAGGCTTCGCGGATGGCGTCCTTCACCATCTCGGGGTCTTCCTCCTCTCCTTGTTTTGGCAAGGCCTCAGTGGCCAGGACGTGTTCCAGCAAGTGTTTGGCGCAGAACTCGGCCACAGTGTTTCCCGCGTGTCCATCATAGACGGCAAAGAAAGCCCAGTTGGTGAGCGGATCGGGCAACTGAGGTCGGAGCGTGTGGGCATCCTCCATCTGGGCACGCCAACCCTGCATGGAGCCCATGCCGTAGCTTAATCCCGCAACTTCTCCATGTTCTAACAGCTTCTCTGTCCGCGGCGCTGTCAAAAAGGCACGGGGAACTTCGTCCTCTTCTTCCTCCCTCCGGCCTTCCTCTTCCTCCTCTTCCTCGCCACCTTCTTCACTCTTGAAGAGCCGCGACACCATCCGCTCTGCCTCCGACACCACCAGCCGCACAAAGTTGGCCATCCCCGGGCAAAATATTTTCCCGGATTTTGGAGAGGTGGGCTCTTTCAGCCCACCTCTGGCAACTTTAGAAGAAGAACCAAAGCCAAGGCTATTCCTTATGTTGGGAAGCTCGGTGGCCACTGCTTGGCCTCTTGGAGATGTCTGCTCGTTTGCTGGAAGTTGCGCCAATGCCACGATTGGAAGCTCTTGAATCCTAGAAGAATAGAAAGGAGCTAATTTTAAACACTTACTCAGATTTCTAGTGCCCTCTAAGACAAGGCTTATCCTGAAGCAGAAGGGAGCAAGATAGCTTCTTGCTTCCTCAACTTCTGTGGGAGCACAACTGACCTTTGAGTTGGAAAGGACTCAGTGGTGGCTGCCGCTTGGCATTTCAGAGGCACCTTCCTGTTCTCGTTTGCTGGAAGTCGTTCCCAAAAATCTGTAGTTGGAATCGGTGAACCCTAAAAGAAAGCAATGCCAAGCCTCTTCTTTGTTTTGGGAGAGAGTCAGCTGTGGTGACAGTTTGGCATTTCAGAGATGCCCAATTTGCTGGAAGTTGCTATCCAAAATCTGTAGCTGATGCCACAACTGGAATCTGCAAATCCTAGAAGAAGGAAGTGCCAAAGCTCTTCCTTTGGTTTGGAGGGACTCAACTGTGGATACCGTTTGGCATTTCGGAGGCACCCAATTGTTCCAGCTGGAAATTAACAAAAAAATAGAATAGATTGGAATCTGTGACTCTTGGAATGAAGAAATGCCAATGCGCTTCTTTGGGTTTGGAGGAACTCAGCTTTGGAGAAACTCGCTGGGCATTTCGGAGGTGCTCGTTCAAGTTTGCTGGGAGTTCAATCCCCCAAAATGGAATTGATTTCAGTCTTCAGATTCAGGAATGAAGGAACCTCCAAAGCTTTCCCTTTTGTCGAGAAGGACTTAGCTGTCAATCGCTAGAAATCCAAAATCTGTAGCTGGTGCCACAACTAAAGTTTGTAAATCCAAGAAGAAGGGAATGCCAAGGTTCCTGCTTTTGGTTCAGCTGTGGCTACGGCTGGACCTTTCGGAGATGCCCGCTTTTTCTGCTTCGCTGGGCATTCTCTTTGCAAATCCACCGCTGAGCTTTGGACGTCACCGTCGTGAATTTGGGGACCTTAATCTCGACGCGAGGCGATGACTCACTTGTCAAGGAAAGCTGTTTAATATGGCGGTTTGGCTCACCCCGAAGTCGCCCCGTCGAAATGCCAATTCCTTCGTTTGGGAGGGACTCAGCAGTGGCATTTCAGAGGAGCCTCGCAATAGGTTGGATGGGAGTATTGACCCCTGAGCCCGTGGCTTTGGACGTCACCGTTGTCCATTTGGGGACCTTAATCCCCGAAGGCGATGTATGACTCACTCGTCAAGGAAAGCCCTTTAAGACGGCTTTAAGGTTGCCCCATTGGCTCCTTTGCTAGCCCAGTGGCATCTCGCCATCCACCGTCCACGCGTTCACCTCTTCTCAATGCTCCCTTTGTGCCCCAAAAACTCTCTGCATCTCTTTCAGGCCATCACTGGGTCATCTTGCGCTGGCCATCTGCCCGAAGCCTCTTCTGATTGGCTCGGCGTTGGCCCAGCAGTGCTAATCCCTTCATCCCGCAGCTAAATATGGAGGTTTAAACCCTGCTAATCCCCACGCGCTGTGATGCAGAAGCCACCCCATTGCCTGACCTGCTTGGGTCACTTGCTGGCCTTACCTTTTTGGTCAGCTAAATGGACGTTTACACGTGTCGGATCCTCCATTACCAAGCAGTGACGGCTAAAGGCTGTGTGCAAGCCCAGATGGGCCAAATGTGCAAAATCTTGGCATGCAAACCAGTCTGCAGCTTCCCAAGGAGACTTCGGTGCATCTATATCAGGTATGGTCCAACTCCGGCCCTCCAAGTGTCTCAACAGTCCATAGGCTGTTAGGAATTGTGGGAGTTGAAGTCCAAAATACCTGTTGGGCCAAAGTTGGCCCATGCCTGATCTATATTGTAGAACGAACACAGTTGGGCATCACTTTGACCACCGTGTTGTAGTTTGCACAGAGTTGCAGTTTGCACAGAGAAGGTTAAGGGCCTTGTAAATCTACAACTCCCACATTTCCATCGCATTGAGCTACAACAGTCCAAGTTGAGAAGGAACTGTCAATTCCACAATGTGGATGCACCCTTTGCAAAACTACAGATCCCAAGATTACGTATTATTGCCAAAGAGCATTGGTGCTTCACAAAACTATAACTCCCAGAATCCCATAGCATTGAGTTTTGGATGTCGCATATTATTATATTGTACCTTTTCTGCCAAAGAGCACTGGTGCCTCGCAAAACTATAACTCCCAGGATCCTATAGCACCGAGCCTTGGCAGTCCAATTGAGGTAAAGCCATCAATTCTTCAATACAGAGACACCCTTTGCAAAACTACAGATCCCGGGATTACATATTGTTGTGCCTTCTCTGCCAAATGGCACTGGTGCTTCATGAAACATTAAATCCCAGGATCCCACAGTCCAATGAGGTCAAGCCGTGGATCCCACAATGTATATGCGTCCTTTGTGGAGCTACAGATCCCAAGATTACATATTATTGTCAAAGAGCATTGGTGCTTCATAAAACTATAACTCCCAGAATCCCATAGCCAGTCCATCCTCCAGGAAAGAAAGCCCGGCTGCTCACTGGAGGGAAGGAGACTAGAGACAAAGTGGAAGTCCTTTGGCCACATCCTGAGGAGACAGCAAAGCCTGGAGAAGACAATTACGCTGGGGAAAGTGGAAGGTAAAAGGAAGAGGGGCCGACCAAGGGCAAGATGGATGGATGGCATCCTTGAAGGGACTGGACTGACCTTGAAGGAGCTGGGGGTGGTGATAGCCAACAGGGAGCTCTGGCATGGGCTGGTCTGTGAGGTCACAAAGAGTCGGAGACGACTGAACGAATGAACAACAACAACAAACAAGCAGGAAATAACAACAACAACAACACAAGAGCGGATACAATAAGACTTTATTTATTTATTTATTTATTTACCATATTTGTATACTGCCTTTCTCAGCCCGGAGGCAACTCAAGGTGGTTCTTAGTCGGCAACAATTCGATGCCACAGCAATTAAAAGACAATTAAAACAGTCATAAATACATATAGATATATAAACCCTTTTTCCTAGTTCCAACAGACCTCACTACCTCTGAGGATGCTTGCCATAGATGCAGGCGAAACGTCAGGAGAGAATGCCTCTAGACTATGGCCATACAGCCCGAAAAAACCTACAACAACCCAATGCATATAGTATTTTAAAAAGTACATCAGGCTAAGTCTCCTTTAGGAGAGGAGAGTGGAAAATCAGGAGGAGAGTGGAACTATTCCATGCCAGTTGCAAGGCGCTTTCCATGGTGCTGAAAACACAGCATATTGCATCTTCAGCACCATGGACAGCGCTGCGGAGAAAACCTGGGGTGGATCTCCATTCCTTGCTGAGACTGGCTCTTCCTGCTCCTTCTTTCCCTGCTTTGCAGGGGAAGGGGCAGGACCGAGGATGATGGACAGGTGGGGACGCCAAGTCCCACCCCTTCCTTCCTCTTTCCCTGCCAATTCTCCCTTGCAGACTTTGCAAGGCGCTTTCCATGGTGCTGAAAACCCAACCTCATTGCATCTTCAGCACTATGGACAGCGCTGGGAAGAAAACCCGGGGTGGATCTCCATTCCTTGCTGGGATTGGCTCTTCCTGCTCCTTCTGTTTTGCAGGGGAAGGGGCGGGGCCGAGGATGATGGACAGGTAGGGAAGCCAAGCCCCGCCCCTTCCCTCCTCCTTCCCTCCTTCCCTCTTTCCCTGCTTCTCCTCCTCCTTCTCCTCCTCTTCTAGGACCCCCTCCTTCCCGGCCACACCCTGTGCCCCCCCCTAAAAAACACCCTCCTCTCCACCCCCTTCTCCACCCCTTTCCCTTCCCCTCCATCCTTTCCAAATAACCCCCCTTCTTTTCCTCGTTCTCCTCCTTCTTTTTGTCTGCAGCATCCTCTTTGTCTTCCCTCCAGCATCCCTTCCTCTCCTTCTCCTCCTCCTCCTCTTTTTGGGGAAGAAGGGGGGGCTCAATGATGGGCCCTCCATGGGGGAGATGAGCCTGGGGAGGGGGCCCAGGGGGAGGAGGAGGAGGAAGAAGAGGAAGAGGAAGGAGGAGGAGGAGGAAGGGGGAGGCTTGGGCCCCGGAGGACGGGGCGGGGGGGCCTCTCGCATGGACCTGGAGCCGGACGGTGGCCATGGGGCAAGTCCTGGGGTTTGCCCACTGCAGTAGGTATCTTTGGGAAGGGGGGGAGGGGGGGCAAAAGGGAGGGAGGGTCCCAATGGTGGGGGTTGGAGGAGGGATTTGCCCCTCTTAGGACACCTCTGCATGGGTGCAAAGGGGCAGAGGGGTTGGGTGGTCTCTCAATGCAAGCAGGGCATTGGATAGTCAAGGTTACCCCCCCCCCCCCCTCCGGCATTGTATACATTACATGCATGATTTGCAAAAGTCTTGTTGCCCCTATACATTGCATGCCTGACTCTTGCAAAAAAAAAAAAGTCTTGGTACCCCACTTATTGATCTGACACAGACCCCAAAACCAGGAAAGGAAGGGTTGCCGCTTGGCATCTCCTTGTGGAGAGAAAAAGTGGGTTTAAATAATAATAATAATAATAATAATAATAATAATAAGAAGAAGAAGAAGAAGAAGAAGAAGAAGAAGAAGAAGAAGATTTAAAGATCAAACTGCAAAGACTCTGTCACAAGCCAGTCAAGGCGGTCCCAGTGGTGATCGGCACACTGGGTGCAGTGCCTAAAGACCTTGGCCTGCACTTAAACACAATCAGCGCTGACAGAATTACCATCTGCCAGCTGCAAAAGGCCACCTTACTGGGGTGTGCACGCATTATACACTCAAACCAGTCAAGGTGGTCCCAGTGGTGATCGGCACACTGGGTGCATTGCCTAAAGGCCTTGGCCTGCACTCAAACACAATCGGCGCTGACAATTGTACCCCACTTATTGGTACCCCACTTATTGATCTGAAATAAAGGGTTGCTGCTTGGAATCTCCTTGTGGAGAGAAATAATAATAATAGTAATAATAATAATAATAATAATAATAATAATAATAATAATAGGATTTAAAGATCGAACTGCAAAGACTCTGGCACAAGCCAGTCAAGGTGGTCCCAGTGGTGATGGGCACACTGGGTGCAGTGCCTAAAGACCTTGGCCTGCACTCAAAAACAATCGGCGCTGACAAAATTACCATCTGCCAGCTGCAGAAGGCCACCTTACTGGGATGTGCACGCATTATACCAAGCTAGTCAAGGTGGTCCCAGTGGTGATCGGCACACTGGTTGCAGTGCCTAAAGAACTTGGCCTGCACTCAAACACAATCGGCGCTGACAAAATTACCATCTGCCAGCTGCAGAAGGCCACCTTACTGGGATGTGCACGCATTATACACCTAAACCAGTCAAGGTGGTCCCAGTGGTGATCGGCACACTGGGTGCAGTGCCTAAAGACCTTGGCCTGCACTTAAACACAATTGGCACTGTCAAGATTACCATCTGCCAGCTGCAGAAGGCCACCTTGTTGGGATGTGCATGCATTATACACCCAAGCCAGTCAAGGTGGTCCTAGTGGTGATTGGCACACTGAGTGCAGTTCCTAAAGACCTTGGCCTGGACTCAAACACAATCGGCGCTGACAAAATTACCATCTCCTAGCTGCAAAAGGCCACCTTACTGGGATGTGCACGCATTATACGCCCAAGCCAGTCAAGGTGGTCCCAGTGGTGATTGGTACACTGGGTACAGTGCCTCAAGACCTTGGCCTGCACTTAAACACAATCGGTGCTGACAAAATTACCATCTGCCAGCTCCAGAAGGCCACCTTACTGGGATGTGCACGCATTATACACCCAAGCCAGTCACGGTGGTCCCAGTGGCGATGGGCACACTGGGTGCAGTGCCTAGGGACCTTGGCCTGCACTTAAACACAATCGGCGCTGACAAAATCACCATCTTCCAGCTGCAAAAGGCCACCTTACTTGGGAAGTGTCCGATGTGTGATCCAACACAACAGCCAGCAAAGTGATTTTGTCTGCTGTGGACTCATCTTGCTGTGTTTCAAATAGCAATAATAATAATTGCACTTTTGATACCCCACTGTATATCTGTCTGCCACTGAACCTGGCTCGAGAGCAGGACGTGTGAAAAAGATCTTGAAAGTCCTCATGGACAACAAGTTAATCATGAGCCAACAATGTGATGTGGCGGCAAAAAAAGCCAATGGGATTTTGGCCTGCATCAAGAGGATCCTAGCGTCTAGATCTAGGGAAGTCATGCTCCCCATGCTCTATTCTGCCTTGGTTAGACCACACCTGGAATATTGTTCTGGGCACCACAATTGAAGAGAGAGATTGACAAGCTGGAATGTGTCCAGAGGAGGGCAACTAAAATGATCAAGGGTCTGGGGAACAAGCCCTATGAGGAGCGGCTTAAGGAGCTGGGCATGTTTAGCCTGAAGAAGAGAAGGCTAAGAGGAGATATGATAGCCATGTATAAATATGAGAGAGGAAGCCACAGGGAGGAGGGAGCAAGCTTCCTTTCTGCTTCCCTGGAGACTAGGACGCAATGGAACAATGGCTTCAAACGACAAGAGAGGAGATTCCATCTGAACATGAGGAAGAACTTCCTGACTGTGAGAGCCGTTCAGCAGTGGAACTCTCTGCCCCGGAGTGTGGTGGAGGCTCCTTCTTTGGGGGCTTTTAAACAGAGGCTGGATGGCCATCTGTCAGGGGTGATTTGAATGCAATATTACTGCTTCTTAACAGAATGGGGTTGGACTGGAAGGCCCATGAGATCTCTTCCAACTCTTTGATTCTATGATTCTATGAACCCAAATCTGGATAAGAAAGGCTATTGTTGTTGTTGTTGTTGTTGTTTTTGTTGTTGTTGTTATGTTTATTTATACCCCACTATTGTCTTGTCTATGCATTGCAGGCCTGACTCCCGCCCCTCCAAAAGGAAAATGTTCTCTCTATGCATTGTAGGCCTGACCCCAAACAAGGAAATAAACAATATTAATTATTTATACCCCGTCCTTCTCGATCTCTGAGGTGGGACTCGGAATGCTTCCAAACAGGCAGCAATTCAATGCCTAATATGACATAAGACACATAATAAATACATCCATATACATTAAAATAGTTACAAATATACACCATAACTAGTTCTCCAGATTAAAATCGCCAGAATTAAAATCGTCATCCAAAACAGTCCAAGTACAATCCAATAAAATCTTGTCTTCCCGCTAAAGCAACTATTCTGCGAACTCTTGATCCCATAACCAGGGTTTAAGTTTCTTCTGGAAGGTCAGAAGGGAGCGGGCGGATCTAACCTCCTTGGGGAGGGAGTTCTACAGCCGAGAGGCCACAACGGAGAAGGCACTGTCTCTTGTCCCCACCAAATAGTACTGATTCATAAAGAAGGAACTGCGAGACTGAGATTAAAAATTACAGACCAATTTCTTTATTGAATACTGATTATAAGATTTTGGCGAACATATTGGTGAAGAGAGTAAAAAATTTCTGAAGAAACTGGATTGAAGAAGACCAAACAGGATTTTTACCAAATAGATTTATGAAGGATAATATAAGGTTGGTATTGGATTTAATAGAATATTATGAACAGAATTATCAAAAAGAATTTGCCATACTAGCTTTGGATGCAGAGAAGGCTTTTGATAACCTAAATTGGTATTTTTTAAGACTTTAATACAAGAATTGGACATGGGAGATAAATTTTCTAATGCAATAAAAGCGATATATGATCTACAAAAGGCTAAATTAAGAATAAATGGTCCCCGGATGATCTTAAGGTCCTAGTAACCTCACTGAGGAGAGAGTTCCACAGCCAAGGGGCTACCATGGATAAGGCCCTGTCTCTCGTCCCCACCAAACGCAACTGCGATGGTGGTGAGACCGAGAGCAGGGCCTCCCTGGATGATCTTAAGGTCCTAGTAACCTCATTGGGGAGGGAGTTCCACAGCCAAGAGGCCACCATGGAGAAGGCCCTGCCTCTCATCCCCATGAAACGCAACTGCGATGGCGGTGGGACTGAGAGCAGAGCCTTTCTGGTTGGTCTTAAGGTCCTAGTAACCTCATTGGGGAGGGAGTTCCACAGCCGAGAGGCCACCACAGAGAAGGCCATGTCTCTCGTCCCCACCAAATGCAACTGCGATGGCGGTGGGACTGAGAGCAGGGCCTCCCTGGATGATCTTAAAGTCCTAGTAACCTCATTGGGGAGGGGGTTCCACAGCCAAGGGGCTACCATGGAGGGGGCCCTGTCTCTCATCCCTACCAAATGCAACTGTGATGGTGGTGGGATCAAGAGCAGGGCCTCCCTGGATGATCTTAAGATCCTAGAAACCTCATTGGGGATGGAATTCCACAGCCAAGGGGCTACCATGGAGAAGGCCCTGTCTCTCGTTCCCACCAAACACAACTGCAATGGCAGTGGGACTGAAAGTAGGGCCTCCCTGGATGATCTTAAGGTCCTAGTAACCTCATTGGGGAAGGAGTTCCACAGCCAAGGGGCTCCCACAGAGACGGCCCTGTCTCTCGTCCCCATCAAACGCAACTGCGATGGCGGTGGGACTGAGAGCAGGGCCTCTCCAGTTGATCTTAAGGTCCTAGTAACCTCATTGGGGAGGGAGTTCCACAGCCAAGGGGATACCACGGAGAAGGCCCTATCTCTCATCCCCACCAAACACAACTGCGATGGCAGTGGGACTGAAAGCAGGGCCTCCCTGGATGATCTTAAGGTCCTAGATGGTTCAGACAGGTAAACTGGACTGGAACCTTTTAGGGCTTTATAGGTTAGCACCAGCACTTGGAATATTTATTTCCTTGTCCTTGAACACAAATCTGGACAGAAGAGACTGGCCCCTATGCATTATACTCATATGTCTGAACCCCCCCCCCCCCCACCTCTTAGTACTCCACTTATTTCTCTGACACTGATCCAAATCCTGGATTGGAAAGGTTGCTGCCTTGAGTCTCCTTGTGGAGAGAAAAAGTGGGGTATCAATAGACATAAACTAACAACCACCACCACCACCTCTCAGCTCAGCCTGGCCTTCCTCTGAAGCTGAGAGAGTGTGACTCACCCAATGTGGGTTTTCCATGCCATAAGCGAGAATCCAAACCCATGTCTCTAGTAGAGTCATGGGTTGCATCTACACAGTAGATACCTACTTGTGTCAGCTCAGGTCCTCCCTCTTTAAAGATTTCAGCAGGGATCCCATCAGGTCCGCTGGCTTTGTTATTCTTCTGTTGGCTGATGGCATTGCTGACTTCTTCCAAACTAGGCATTGCTGCAAGCTCATCCCTGGTTTGTTGTTGTGGGATTTGTGAGAGAACCTCTTTGGCCACATTGGAACTGCGGTTCAGGAGGCTTTGGTAGTGTTCTTTCCAACGTAGTGCAATTGAGTTTTGGTCCTTCAGGAGTTTGGTTCCATCTGATGAGCGGAGAGGCTGTATGCCATGGTTTCTTGGTCCATAGATGACTGTTGTGGCTTTGAAAAATCCCTGAGCATCATGGGTATCTGCCAGGTGTTGGATTTCTTCAGCTTTCTTTGTCCACTAGATGTTCTTGAGTTCTCTTGTCCTTCTTTGGACCTCAGCTTTTGCACTGGCGTAGATCTTTTTCTTAGCAGCACAGTTGATGTCTCTCTGCCATGTTTGGAAGGCTTTCCTTTTCTTGTCAATTAGCTGTTGGATCTCATTGTCATTTTCGTCAAACCAATCTTGATGTTTCTTGGTTTGCTATCCAATAGTTTCTTCGCAGGCTGTGATGATGGAGGTCTTCTGTTTGTTCCAATGTTCCTCAACATTTTCGGGGTATTCTGTGGGGAGATGGTTCTTGAGTGCTGTTTGGAGATGGGCTCGTTTGGAGGGCTCCTGAAGGGCTTGGGTGTTCATTTTGCACCTTGTCTTTCATCCTTGGAGCCTGCGCTTGGGGGCAACCTTGATAGCCATCGTGGATCGGATTAGCCTGTGGTCAGTCCAGCAGTCATCAGCACCTGTCTTATGAGGAGCACGGCACGGCGGTCTCTGGCACGTGTGATTACGTAGTCTAAGAGGTGCCAAAATCAACCTCTGTACATGGCATTGATTGACATTGCAAAGGCATTTGACACAGTGAATCGCAGCGCTTTCTGGACCATCCTCCAAAAAATTGGGTGCCCTAACAAATTCGGGAACATCCTGCGGCTCCTCCATGATGACATGATGGCAACGGTCTTGGACAGCAATGGCTCCCAAAGTGACCCATTTAAGGTGGAATCAGGTGTCAAACAGGGATGTGTTATCGCCCCAACTTTATTCTCCATCTTCATGACTTTGATACTTCATCTTGTTGACGGGAAGCTTCCCACCAGTGTGGAAATCATCTATCGGACAGATGGCAAGCTATTCAACCTCAGCAGACTGAAAGCCAAAACCAAGGCCACAACAACATCTGTTATAGAACTCCAGTATGCTGATGACAACGTTGTCTGTGCGCATTCAGAAGAAGATCTACAAGCCACTCTAAACTCCTTTGCAGAAGCATACGAGAAGCTCAGCCTGTCATTGAACATCGAGAAAACCAAAGTGCTCTTCCATCAGTCACCAGCCAATCCCTCTCCAATGCCAGAGATACAGCTTAATGGTGTAACATTAGAAAATGTCGACCCTTTCCACTCCCTTGGCAGCCACCTCTCCACCAAAGTCAACATCGACACCGAAATACACCACCGCCTGAGCTCTGCAAGTGCAGCATTTTTCCAAATGAAGCAGAGAGTGTTTGAGGACCGGGACATCCATAAGGATACCAAGGTGCTTGTCTATAAAGCTATTGTCCTCCCAATCCTGCTATACGCCTGCAAGACATGGACTATCTACAGACATCACATGCAACTCCTGGAACAATTCCATCAACGCTGCCTCCGGAAAATCCTGCAAATCTCTTGGGAAGGCAGGCAGGGAAATGCCAGCGTGCTGGAAGAAGAAGCAAAGACCACCAGCATTGAAGCGATGGTCCTCCGCCATCAACTCCGCTGGACCGGCCACGTTGTCTGGATGCCCAACCACCGTCTCCCAAAGCAGTTGCTCTACTCCGAACTCAAGAACGGAAAACGGAATGTTGGTGGGCAGGAAAAGAGATTGAAAGATGGGCTCAAAGCCAACCTTAAAAACTCTGGCATAGACACTGAGAACTGAAAAGCCCTGGCCCTTGACCACTCCAGCTGGAGGTCAGCTGTGACCAGGAGTGCTGCAGAATTTGAAGAGGCACGAGTGGAGGGTGAAAGAGATAAATGTGCCAAGAGGAAGGCGCATCAAGCCAACCCCGTCCGAGACTGCCTTCCACCTGGAAACCAATGCCCTCACTGTGGGAGAAGATGCAGGTCAAGAAGAGGGCTCCACAGTCACCTACGGACCCACCACCAGGACACCGAACTTGGAGGACCATCATCCTTGGACTACGAGGGATCGCCTACACAGTAGAGTTAATGCGGTTTGATGCCACTTTATTGCCATGGCTGAATGCTATGCAGCCTCGGGAGTTGTATTTCAGCAGGGTCTTGAGCCTCTTCTGCCAAAGAGTGTGGAAACTACTACTTCCAGGATGCCATAGCAGTTGAAGTGGGGTAAAACTGGATCAATTCTACTGTGTAGAGTGCTTTTGTTCTACTCTTTTTTCTTTCCACTTTTGTCTCTTTTTTGGAGCTAATTTTAGTCTCCGAGTTTCTCAGAACTGATCGAAATCTGTCCTAGTTTGAAACGTACAGCGCTTTGGCATGATATATAATTCACGGCGCATGCCATAAATGGACATAAATGGAGTTGAGCATTGGATTAAGAAAACCCTGTGATCAGAGGGATCTTAGGGTGCAAATAATATAGAAGGAACGCAGTTTGACGCCACTTTCGCTGCTGTAGCTCTATGCTCCGGACTCCTGTGAGTTGTAGTTTGCATTCGTGGGCAGAGAAGCCCGAAGACGTTGCCAAATTACAACTCCCAGAATCCCACTGCAGTTCAAGTGATTTCTAAACTGCATTCCTTTATAGTATAGATGCACCCAGAGAAGATTGAAGAACGTGTAAAACTACAACTCCCAGGATTAATTTTGCAATGTAGATGAGCCCAGAGAAGGTGGAGGTCTTTGTAAAACCACAACTTCCATGATTCGTTTTACTGTGTAGATGTGCCCAGAGAAGATTATGGGCCATGTAAAACTACAACTCCCAGGATTCATTTTATTGTGTAGATGTGCTCAGAGAAAGTTATGGGCCTTGTAAAACTACAACTCCCAGGAATCATTTTACTTTGTAGATGCACCCAGAGAAGGTTATGGGCCTTGTAAAACTACAGCTCCCAGGATTAATTTTACTCTGTGCCCAGAGAAGGTTTATTGTGTAGATGTGCTCAGAGAAGGTCATGGGCCTTGTAAAAGTACAACTCCCAGGATTCATTTTATTGTGTAGATGTGCTCAGAGAAGATTATGGGCCTTGTAAAACTACAACTCCCAGGATTCATTTTATTTTGCAGATGTGCTCAGAGAAAGTTATAGGCCTTGTAAAACTACAATTCCCAGGATTCATTTCATTTTGCAGGTGTGCTCAGATAAAGTTATGGGCCTTGTAAAACTACAACTCCCAGGAATCATTTTACTGTGTAGATGTGCCCAGAGAAGGTTATGGGCCTTGTAAAACTACAACTTCCAGGATTCCTTTTACTGTGTAGATATGCTTACAGAGGGTTGTGGGCCTTGTAAAACTACAGCTCCCAGGATTAATTTTACTGTGTGGATATGCCTAGAGAATGTTATGGGCCTTGTAAAACTACAACTCCCAGGATTAATTTTACTGTGTAGATGTGCCCAGAGGAGGTTATGGGCCTTGTAAAACTACAACTCTCAGGATTAATTTTACTGTGTAGATGTGCTCAGAGAAGATTATGAGCTTTGTAAAACTACAGCTCCCAGGATTAATTTTACTGTGTAGATATGCCTAGAGAAGGTTATGGGCCTTGTAAAACTACAACTCCCAGGAATCATTTTACTGTGTAGATGCACCCAGAGGAGGTTATGGGCCTTGTAAAACTACAGCTCTCAGGTTTTATTTTACAATGTGGATGCACCCAGAGAAGGTTAAGGGCCTTGTAAAACTACAACTCCCAAGATTCATTTTACTGTGTAGATGCACCCAGAGAGAGTTAAGGGCTTTGTAAAACTACAGCTCCCAAGATATCATAGAATTAAACCATGGCAATTCAAGTGGGGCCAATGTTATTCTACAGTGTAGTTGCACCCTTAGTGGAACTACAGTTCCCAGGATCCCATAGCATTGAGCCTTGGCAGTCAAAGTTACTCCCGGCAACGTGGAAACAAGGAAGATGCATCAGAACCTTATATTTTATTTTATTTTCCGGTTGTGGCTCAGCTCCAGAACTTACATTAATGCGCCTATGCTTCCCGCCATAGTCGTGCATAGGGAGGCCACACATTATTTCCTGGATGACTTGCAAATGGGAGCATAGGAGAGAAGCCAAGGACATCCAGAGTTTGGAAAGTGTTTTGTTTTGGTTTTTCCCAAACTACAAATCCCATCTGGCATGCCTGTTGGGGGATTCTGGGTGTTGTTGTGTGAATGGGAAGTCTTAACAGGTATTTTTCTCCCTCTTGTTTCTTGCAGAAGAATCTCCTTCCACCGCCTCCACCACACCAGACTCTACAGACGGTGAGTTGGAAGGGATCCGCATTCGAAAAAACTAAACTACAACTCCCAGGATTTCATCTCCTCGAGCAATGGCAATTAAATGCAGTCAAACTATATTCATTCGGCAATGTTAGATGCACCCCTAGTTATTGGGTATGTTAAATATGCTCAGAGAGGCTGACCTTGGAAACCATGCTAGTGGGAGGACTACAAGTCCCAAAATCCACCGACTAGCAGACCCATTGCTGATTTTTAGTTCCTCAAATTAGACATGTTCATTTAGTTTGCTAATATACTCAGAGGCAGTATGCATCCGAGCTGAGCTTGGAGACTATCCTAGCAAGAGGACTACAAGTCCCAATTCTGGGAGGTGTTGTCCTTCAAAGTACCCACAGCCCTTACATTTTTCAATATTCTCAGTGGCAGTGTTCACCGTCCTAAGCTGAAGTTGGAAATACATTGAAGTTGGAAAGCCTGCCAGTGGGAGGATTACAAGTCCCAGTTCTGGGAATTGTAGTCCTTCAAAGTACCCACAGCCCTTACATTTTGCAATATACTCAGTGGCAGTGTTCACCAAAGCTGAAGTTAGAAATACATTGAAGTTGGAAAGCCTGCCAGTGGGAGGATTACAAGTCCCAGTTCTAGGAATTGTAGTCCTTCAAAGTACCCACAGCCCTTACATTTTTCAATATACTCAGTGGCAGTGTTCACCTAAGCTGAAGTTGGAAATACATTGAAGTTGGAATGCCTGCCAGGATTACAAGTCACAGTTCTGGGAATTGTAGTCCTTCAAAGTACCCACAGCTATTACATTTTTCAATATACCTAGTGGCAGTGTTCACCTAAGCTGAAGTTGGAAATACATTGAAGTTGGAGGATTGCAAGTCCCAGTTCTGGGACTTGTAGTCCTTCATAATACCCAACAGCCCTTCGGTTTGTCGAAGGCCGTATTCACTTTGACTGACCTCAGAAACTGTGCTGGCAGGAGAAAATAAACTCCCACAAATCCCTTCACTGATATGTCCACTGAGTATTTTGGGAGTTGTAGTTCTCCAGAGTACCATCCATAGGTTATTTTATACGGGGAAAGGGGATGGACGGGGTTACCCGATCGACTCAAATCTAATGAGGTTGTGCATGAGATTGGTGTCATGCAGTTATCTTAAAGCGGAGCCAAAGGGGAATCTGGCCATGGAGCTCCTCTTTGAGGGACGTCATCTTTCATTTAATTGCTATGGCTCAATACAATGTTGAGATACCCAATATGCCCATATTTGAATACTGGTGGGATTGGGAGGGGATTGATTTTGTTGTGTGGGAGTTGTACTTGCTGGGATTTATAGTTCATCTACAATAAAAGAGCATTCTGAACTCCACCAACCATGGAATTGAACTAAACTTGGCACACACAACTCCAATGAGCAACAGAAAATAGTGGAAGGGTTTGGTGGGCGTTGGCCTTGAGTTTGGGAGTTATAGTTCACCTACATCCAGAGAGTGCCGTGGACTCAAGCAGTAATGGATCTGGACCAAACTTGGCACGAATACTCAATATGCCCAAATGTGAACACTGTTCGAGTTTGGGGGGAAATAGACCTTGACAAATGTAGTTGCTGGGATTTATAATTCACCTACAATCAAAGTGCATTCTGAACTCCACCAATGATGGAATTGAACCAAACTTGGCCACACAGAACTCCCATGACCAACCGAAAACACTAGAAGGGTTTAGTGAGCATTGAGCTTGAGTTGTAGTTCACCCACATCCAGAGAGCACTGAGGACTCGACCAATGATGGATCTGGACCAAACTTGGCACGAATATTCAATATGCCCAAATGTGAACACTGGTGGAGTTTGGGGAAAATAGACCTTAACGTTTGGGAGTTGTAGTTCACCTACAATCAAAGAGCATTCTGAACAGCAATGATGGAATTGAACCCAACGTGGCACGCAGAACTCCCATGACCAACAGAAAATACTGGAAAGGTTTTCTGGTCATTGACCTTGAGCTTGGGAGTTGTAGTTCACCTACATCCAGAGAGCACTGTGGACTCAAGCAGTAATGGATCTGGACCAAACTTGGCACGAATACTCAATATGCGCAAATGTGAACACTGGTGGAGTTTGGGGAAAATAGACCTTAATGTTTGGGAGTTGTAGTTGCTGGGATTTATAGTTCATCTACAATCAAAGAGCATTCTGAACCCCACCAATGATGGAACTGAACCAAACTTGGCACACAGAACTCCTATGACCAACAGGACATACTGGTTTTGGTGGGCACTGACCTTGAGTTTTGGAGTTGTAGTTCACCTACATCCACAGAGCACTGTGGACTCAAGCAGTAATGGATCTGGACCAAACTTGGCATAAATACCCAATATTCCCAAATGTGAACAATGCTGGAGTTTGAGGGAAATAGACCTGGACATTTGAGAGTTGGAGTTGTAGTTTGGTTCAATTCCATCCTTGGTGGAGGTATAAATCCCAGCAACTACAACTCCCAAATGACAAAATCAATCCTTCCAGACCCCACCAGTATTCTGCCAACTTAGCAGTTCAAAAACATGCAAATATGAGCAGATCAATAGGTACCGCTCTGACAGGAAGGTAATGGAGTCATGCTGGCCACATGACCTTGGAGGTGTCTATGAACAACACTGGCTCTTTGGCTTAGAAATCATAGAATCATAGACTCATAGAGTTGGAAGAGACCTCCTGGGCCATCCAGTCCAACCCCATTCTGCCAAGAAGCAGGAAAATTGCATTCAAAGCACCCCTGAGAGATGGTCATCCAGCCTCTGCTTAAAAGCTTCCAAAGAAGGAGCCTCCACCACATTCTGGGGCAGAGAGTTCCACTGCTGAACAGCTCTCACAGTTCAGCAGGAAGGAAGTTATTCCTAATGTTCAGATGGAATCTCCTTTCTTGTACTTTGAAGCCATTGCTCCATTGTGTCCTATTCTCCAGGGAAGCAGAAAGCAAGCTTGCTCCCTCCTCTTTATGACTTCCTCTCACATATGTATACATGACCCTCATCATGTCTCCTCTCAGCCTTCTCTTCTTCAGGCTAAACATGCCCAGCTCTTTAAGCCGCTCCTCATAGGGCTTGTTCTCCAGACCTTTGATCATTTGAGTCGCCCTCCTCTGGACACATTCCCACTTGTCAACATCTCTCTTGAATTGTGGTGCCCAGAATTGGACACAGTATTCCAGGTGTGGTCTAACCAAGGCAGAATAGAGCATGGGAAGCATGACTTCCCTGGATCTAGACACTAGGCTCCTCTTGATGCAGGCCAAATCCCAAAATCCAAATGGAGATGAACACCAACACCCAGAGTCGGATTGTAAGGGATCATGGGTTTAGTGTGCGGGGTCCCTTTTCGAAGAAATCCAGAGTCCAATAGGTTCATGTAAGACACCGTTTATTCAAGCTGATCAGCATGAGGCGGACAGACAGCACTTTTGTATGTGCTTCCACAGACTGCCGCACCCCTCCTCGGCTTTTGTAAACTTTTATATACCCTCAAGTAAACAAGAACATTTTTGTCATGGAAAGTACTTTGTCCTTTATTCTTCCTGTCCCATCAACCTCTTGATGGAAAGTATGTTCTTGGTCCTGCAGACTTTGCGCTTAACCACAACCCAACTTCCTATGTAAGCTCTACATGTCACATTTTCTTCCGTGCTGCTAATTTCACTCAAGGACCCTTTCAGGACATCACTTTAATGTCAGGGCAAAACCTTTACCTTCCCTACATTCTCAAAACCATGCATCATATTTTGTGATGTTTGTAAACAATCCCTGACCGCTGTCCCTTCCTGTCCTCAGGTGGCAACGACGAGTCCGACTTCCCAGAGCTGCAGACGGCGAGGGAGTTTTCGGAGGACGAAGAGGAAGAGGAGGCCTCAGTGGAATGGGGCACCCCGAGGGAGCTGACCTTCTCGTACATCACCATCGCGGCCCCCAATAGTGGAGGAGGAGGGCCGCCTTTGGGGGACCCAGGGCCCCGAAACCGGAGGGACTCCCAGGGCCGCCGGGCACGGGCCCCTCTCCCCCGGACGGAGACCTGCGAGACCTTTGTGCCGGCGCTGGGGGACAGTTTGGAGAACATTCCCAGCCTGTGCCCGTCCCCCGAGGCTGGTGGGCCAGGGCTGGACCCCTTTGAGGGATGGGAAGCCCACTCCGGACAAGTGGACGCCGACAAAGTAGGAGAGGAGCATCTCATATCTCAACCTCACAGCCCTGCAGTGCGGGCCGAGGAAAGCGGGCAATGCAGCAGCAGCGATTCGTCCTCAGGTATGTAGGGAAAGGACCCTTTTTCTGGGCTACATCTCTCATCACCATTGGTGTTATATTGTTTTTAGCGCACTTGAATTGCCAAAGCTCAATTCTTGACCTCACTTCTGCCTTGCGGAACTATAAATCCCAGGATCCCATAGCATTGAGCCTTGGCCATCCCAAGTGAGGTCAAGCAGTCAATTCTGCAATGCAGAAAGCGCAATAATATGGAATCCTGAGATCTGCAGTTTCACAAAGAGTGCATCTGCATTGTAGAATTGCCAAAGCTCAATTCTTGATCTCACTTCCGCCTTAAGGCTCTATAACTCCCAGGATCCCATAGCATTGAGCCTTGGCCGTCCCAAGTGAGGTCAAGCAGTCAATTCTGCAATGCAGAAAGTACAATAATATGGGATCCTGAGATCTGCAGTTTCGCAAAGAGTGCATCTGCATTGTAGACTTGCCAAAGCTCAATTCTTGACCTCACTTCCGCCTTACGGAACTATAACTCCCAGGATCCCATAGCATTGAGCCTTGGCAGTCTCAAGTGAGGTCAAGCAGTCAATTCTGCAATGCAGAAAGTACAGTAATATGGAATCCTGAGATCTGTAGTTTCGCAAAGAGTGCATCTGAATTGTAGAATTGCCAAAGCTCAATTCTTGACCTCACTTCCGCCTTACAGAACTATAACTCCCAGGATCCCATAGTATTGAGCCTTGGCAGTCTCAAGTGAGGTCAAGCAGTCAATTCTACAATGCGGAAAGTACAATAATATGGGATCCAGGGATCTGCAGTTTCGCAAAAGAGTGCATCTACGTACAATGCAGATGCACTCTTTGCAAAACTGCAGATCCCAGGATTCCATGTTATTGTACTTTCTGCACTGTATAATTGATGGCTTGACCTCATTTGGGACTGCTAAAACTCAGTACTATGGGATCCTGGGAGTTATGGTTTCATAAGGTACCCTTTGGCAGAGAAAGTACAATAATATGGAATCCTGGGATCTGCAGTTTCTCAAAAGAGTTCATCTACAATGCAGATGCACGCTTTGCGAAACTGCAGATCTCAGGATTCCATATTGTTGTGCCTTCTTTGCCAAAGGGCACTGGTATATCATGAAACTATAACTATAACTAGTAATTATATTATATTATATTATTATATTATTTGTGGCTTTGATTGATATGTTCTTTCTGCAAATCCCTCAGTCATCCAATGCCATTCCATGGTCAGCTTCCAGCAAGAGTCATGCAACAGTGGTTCTCAACCTGGGGGTTGCGACCCCCAGGGGGGTCACCTGGCCATTTCAGAGGGGTCGTAAGGCCAGCTCCGTTGGCCCCACCCCAAGGGCCTCACGCCTGGCCTCACGCAAAGCCCCCTCACCTACCTCACATTCTCGCCATTGGCGAGAGCGTGGGGCAGGCGAGGGGTCCTCCACGTGAGGCCTGGCCTCGCACAAAGCCCGCCTCGCCTGCCTCACGTTCTCGCCATTCGGGAGTTCTGTGTGGAGGTCTCGGTGGTCTGTGGAAGTCAGCACTGAATTGGTTGAAGGTACTACAAATCCACCTTAGGGAAGGCTGAGCGAAGGAAGAGAGACGCTTTTGAGCTGTGGTGCTGGAGGAAAGTTCTGAGAGTGCCTTGGACTGCGAGAAGACCCAACCAGTCCATCCTCCAGGAAATAAAGCCCGACTCCTCACTGGAGGGAAGGAGACTAGAGACAAAGTGGAAGTCCTTTGGCCACATCATGAGGAGACAGCAAAGCCTAGAGAAGACAATGATGCTGGGGAAAATGGAAGGTAAAAGGAAGAGGGGCCGACCAAGGGCAAGATGGATGGATGGCATCCTTGAAGTGACTGGAGTGACCTTGAAGGAGCTGGGGGTGGTGACGGCCGACAGGGAGCTCTGGCGTGGGCTGGTCCATGAGGTCACAAAGAGTCGGAGACGACTGAATGAATGAACAACAACAACAAGAACACTACAAATCCATATTTCTTTCTGCTTAATCACGATGCTTTAATTATGTTGAATTTGTAACAATTAAAACACATCCTTCATATCCGATATTTACATTACAATTTGTAACAGTAGCAAAATTACAGGTATAAAGGAGCAACGAAAACAATTTTATGGTTGGGGGTCACCACAACATGAGGAACCATATTTAGGGGTCCTGGTGTTAGAACCACAGTGCTAAGAGAACCTGGAAAGGGCACTTCTTGGGATTTCTAGTTCCTCCAAGGTAATTTTGTGGCCAAACAAACAATTAATGGTCAGCCTGACCCATGACCTTTTTCCCTTCAGAGACGTCCCTGGGCGACCTCCCGCCACTGGATGTCTCGGATCCCGAACTGGAAGAAGGGGGACCGAATATCGCCGGAAGTGTCCACCTCCGCCTATTGACCTCGACTCTTGAGCTTGACCATTGTCCATCCCTGGACGATAAAGAAGAGGAAGGAGAGGCGGGACTGAGCTGGGAGCCAATCACAGAGCAGCATCAGGCGGAAGCGGACCAATCAGAGAGCCCGCTGGAAATATGCATCTTAGGTGAGCAGATTGGAATTTCCTATTGGTTCTAATGGATTAGTGTTGGCCCTCTATAGGAATTTATAGGTCATCCAGCTTGAGTCAATAGTCAACATCAAGGAGTGACTTGGTTGCACATGGCATGTGTTTTCCCATGCTGTAAATAGATGCCTTTGAAATAATTGTATATTCAATTTAAAGTATATTATAATGACCAATTAATAGCAATTAGCAAATTAATTAATCGAAGCGATTAGCAAAGAGAACCTAGAAATGTGCATTGGGATAAATGGATTCATTGTTGTCTATAAATCCACAAAATTAAGTCTTATGACTCTATGGTATGGAATCCTGGGATTTGTAGTCTGGCTCGCACATGCCTAGGCTATAATTAGGCAATGACAGCCCAGATTGGACTCTCCAAGCCCCTCCCCAAACTACAGATCCCAGGATCCCATAGGACAGAGCTGCCGGCGTTCAAGCACTATTAATGCGCTGATAATTTGCACGGTCCAGATTTAGCCCTGGACTCAAAGGCTCCTGTGACATTCGGCGTCCTCCTGGGTTTCATGGCACGGGGACGATGGGACGGGAAATAGCCCCTGGCCTCAGGCCCAGAGCGGGAGTGGAGCTCCCACCAGTCAATAGGTATTAATAGCAGCTGCTGAGAGCAGCACAAACCTGAGATGGGGGGAATCTAGAGTTGGGACCCCCTAAAGGTCATCCAGTCCAGCCCCCTTTTGCCAGGGAGGAAGGCACTATCTGATCCCTCCCGACAGATGGCCATCCAGCCATATATATATGATTGAGAGATAGATAGATAGATAGATAGATAGATAGATAGATAGATAGATAGATGGATGGATAACATTCGAAGGTTGGAAGAGACCCCCAAAGGCCATCCAGTCCAACCCCCTTTTGCCAGGCAGGAAGGCACCATCTGATCCCTCCCGGCAGATGGCCATTGAGCTATATATATATGATAGATAGATAGATAGATAGATAGATAGATAGATAGATAGATAGACAGACAGAATTCTAATACTGGAAGGGAACCCCATAGGCCATCCAGTCCAAACCCCTCCTGACAGATGGCCATCCAACCATATATATATGGTTAAGAGATAGATAGATAGATAGATAGACAGATAGATAGATAGATAGACAGACAGACAGACAGACAGACAGACAGACAGACAGACAGACAGACAGAATTCTAATACTGGAAGGGACCCCCAAAGGCCATCCAGTCCAAACCCCTTCTGCCATAAAGGGAAGCACCATCCAAACTCTACCAACAGATGGCCATCCAGTCTCTATTGAATCATGGAATCTAGAGTTGGGACCCACCCAAAGGCCATCATATATATATGATTGAGAGATAGATAGATTGATAGATAGATAAACAGAATTCTAAGGCTGGAAGGCACCATCTGATCCCTCCTGACAGATAGCCATACAGCAATATATATATGATTGAGAGATAGATAGATAAATACACAGAATTCTGTGGGCTAGAAGGGACCCCGCAAAGGCCATCCATTCCAACCTCCTTTTGCCAGGCAGGAAGGCACCATCTGATCCCTCCTGACAGATGGCCATATATATATGATTAAGAGATAGATAGATAGATAGATAGATAGATAGATAGATAGATAGATAGATAGATAGAATTCTAAGGCTGGAAGGGACCCCCAAAGGCCATCCAGTCCAAACCACTTCTGCCATAAAGGAAGGCACTATCCAATCCCTACCAACAGATGGCCATCCAGTCTCTGTTGAATCATGGAATCATGGAGTTGGGACTCCGCAAAGGTCATCCAGTCCACCCCCCTTCTGCCATAAAGGGAAGACACCATCCCATCCCTCCCGAGAGATGGCCATCTTTGTCAACGGGATCCCCCTTTAATCATGACAGCTACATCCAATGGATGTATGCCGTTTGACTGCTGGAATCCTCCAGTTGAAAGAGACCCCCAAAAGCTATCCAATCCAACCCCCTTCTGCCAGGGAGACAGCATTCTCAATACTGCATAGATCCACATGATGCAGTTGTTGTGACTAAAGTGGGATGTCATTCACAAGGAGACCCCTGGATGGCCATTTGTTGGGAGGGTTTTGATGGTGTCTTCCTGCCTGGCAGAAATGGGTTGGACTGGATGGCCTTTGGGGGTCTTTTCCTACTCTATGATGCATGTGATGCAAACGACATCAGAGGAGCCCCTCACCCTGGCGGTGCTACGTCTCCCAGGCAAGGCTCTGTGATGGGAGACGGCAGCTGGGACTCATCATCTATAAATAGCCCCCCGCTTCTCCTTGAGGCCCCCCCTTCCCTCCATGACTGAGCAGCCCTCCTATTCCATCCAGACACAGTTTCGGAGAGATCCCTACAAGGAGAACCCAGAGCTGCCATGGCGAATACAGGTGGGAAATGCCCCCAAAAAGGGCTTTATAGAGCTTATCCCAAATGGACATCGTTGGGCGAAGGGTAGAACGTGATAGATAGAAGGATTTGAATAGGAGAAGCTTTGGAAGAGAGGAAGGACCTGGGATGGGGTTACTATTATTATTATTGGTTATTATTATATTAAATAAATATATTATATTAAATAGATAAATATTGCCGAAGGTCTGGAAACTACAAATCCCTAGGAGGAATAATGGCTTACGGAGCTGGGGATGTCTAGCTTGGAAAAGAGAAGGTTTAAGTATTGGAAAGGAGCTCCCATTGAGGAAGATTGTTTTCTGCTGCTCCGGAAACCAGGTTCAAATGGCAAGATAAGAGATTCCACCTGAAGCTTAGGAAGAAATTCCTAGAGCCATTTGACAATAGAAGACGTTGCCTTGGGAGTTTGGTTGACGTCTCCATCTCTGCATGGATGGCCATCTGTCGGGAGGGATCGCGTGGTGTCTTACTTCCTGGCAGAACTGTGTTTAGATGGATGACACTTGTAGATCTTTAGATTTATCTATATCTATATGTATGATAGCTCTCTTATCTATCATATCGGTGGCTGCATGACCATCTGTCGGGAGGGCTTTGATTGTGTCCTCCTTTACAGCAAAAAAAGGGAGAGATTGGGGGTCCTTCCCAACTTTAGTAGAGTATAGAGTGGCGGAGTTCTAAGAGATCTCATATATCTATAACTATATGTATGATACCTCTCTTATCTATCGTATATATCTATAGCTATATGTATGATATCTCTCTTATCCCTCTTATATATATCTATAATGTCATATATCTACATCTATATGTATGATATCTCTCTTATCTATCTTATATATATCTACATCTACATTTATGTCTCCTATCTCTCTTATATATCTCTATAATGTCATATATGTCTACATCTGTATGTATGATAGCTCTCTTACCTATCATATATATCTATATGTATATCTCTCTTATCTCTCATATATATATATGTCATATATCTATAAGTATATCTCTCATCTCTCTTATATATCTCTATAATGTCATATATCTACATCTATATGTATATCTCTTATCTATCATATATATATATATATATATATATATATCTTATCTCTCTTATATATATCTATAATGTCATATATCTACATCTGTATGTATGATATCTCTCTTATCTATCATATATATCTATATGTATATGTATATCTCTCTTATCTCTCATATATATATGTATGATATCTCTCTTATCTCTCTTATATATATCTATAATGTCATATATCTACATCTATATGATATCTCTCTTATCTATCATATATATCTATATGTATATGTATATCGCTTTTAACTCTCTTTAAACAGAGGCTGGATGGCCATCTGTCAGGGGTGATTTGAATGCAGTATTCCTGCTTCTTGGCAGCGGGTTGGACTGAATGGCCCATGAGGTCTCTTCCAACTTTGATTCTATGATTCTATGATATATATATATATATATATATATATATATATATATATATATATGTCATATATCTATTTCTATGATATCTCTCTTATCTCTTTTATATGTATCTATAATGTCATATATCTACATCTATATGTATAATATCTCTCTTATCATATATATATATATATATATATATATATATATGATAGATAAGAGAGATATTATACATATGGTATCTTATCTATCATATATATATATATATATGGTATCTCTTATCTATAGCAGAAAGGGGGATTGGGAGTCCTTCCCAACTTTAGTGCTAAAGAGTCTTGCGAAGTTCCATGATATCTCATATATCTATATATCTCATACCTATATCTACATGTATGATATCTCTCTTATCTATCATGTCTGTGGCTGCACGGCCATCTGTTGGGAGGGCTTTGATTGTGTCCTTTATAGCAGAAAGGGGGTGGGGGTGGGGAGTGGGGATACTTCCCAACTTTAGTGTAGGCTACTAAAGAGCCTGGTTGGATGGTCATCTGTCGGGAGGGATTGGATGGTGTTTTTCCTACCTGGTTGAATAGGGTCAGACTCGATAGTATTTTGGGGTTCCTTTCCACTCTATGAATGAGAGCATGCACCCAAAGGCCTTGCAGTTGTAAGGAATGTGCTTGCCCTTCCATCAAAAAAAGACCCCACGTCTGTGGCTTTTGCAAAGATGCTGAGCCACCCGTTTGGCATGTGGGGCTGTCAGTTAGCGGTCGGACGGGGCTTTGGAGGGGGAAGGGAGGGAAGGAGGCACGGACCGGACAGCTGCACCCTGCTTTTGGCCTCTCCTTTTTCCACTCTCGGCCTTCCCCCACCCTCCTCTTTCCTTAATAATGGCTCCAATAGGGTTTGCTATGATCTGATAAGTTGAGCCAAGAGTGTGATGCAGCAGCTCAAAAGGCCAATGGGATTTTGGGTTGCATCCATAGGAAGATAATGTCCAGGTCAAGGGAAGCACCGAGATCGTGGCGCAGCTGGCTGAGTGTCAGCTGCATTAAGATCACTCTGACCAAAAGGTCATGAGTTCGAAGCCAGCCCGGGTTGGAGCGGGTTTCCAACCAATTGTGTGTAGCCTGTTGTCGACCTTTGCAA